AAGATGCATTTTTAGATTAAATCATTAAATGGCTGAACCATTCTGATCTACTTAAAATCAGACCTATCCAATGGCATCGAGACTTGATTATGGTCTTGTCATGTTGATAAATGTCTAATTAATAGTGTACCGTATATAACATTTAAGGCCTAAAGAAAGACCTGTAATAAGCAGATTTAGCTCTTGCATAATGTATGTTTAAATAAACATCATTTTTGCTCTAATGTAGTTGTATAGGTCTTGTCACAGCTGTGAATATTTGAACTAAATTCCACATTATATCCACAACATTCTAGAAGAATTTTCATCAAAATATTCATTCCGGAGTTAATAAATTCTATTAAAATCGCATGTTCACAAATATCTCAGAAGTGCATGTAATAATTGTTGTCTGTGATATCACCCTTCGTGGAAGTGGGCTTCAACCTACAGGAACAAACGAACCATATAATAAAATACTGTTTTCTAACATAATATCTTGGTACCAAAACAAAAACAACAGCAAAGAATTGGCTAACTCGTAAGGCAATAGAATTATTATTACACTGTTTACCCCAAACATATAGATGACAGTATGAGATCAACTTTAAAACGAGGAGAGAGAGAGAGGGAGAAATCGGGTTTAACATCCACTCAACACAAACTAGGTAATTTCGGGACTAACATATGGTTCAATTTTATTTCAATAATTCGCTTGTGCGTAGGGGTCTATAGCAATGCGCTGAAACCGAAGGACCAAGAGAAAACCCATGAGGTTGGACAGATGACCCTACTCATTGTCACGTAACTTCAAAAAGCCAAATTAGAACAGATCAATTCAATTAATTTTTTAGTTAGAATAACTTAAATTACATATTCCTTTGTTCATTATACCAATATTGGATCCAATATAGAATTACATTATTAACTTGAAATGAATATGATGTGGATATAGTGATAAAAGTCCTTATTTAATATAACAAATCGTTGTATCATCTGTATGGCGACAATAAGATTTCTTCAAACAATCAACAATATAGTTTAATTTAAATCACCAGTTTCTGAATCAAATCAGTTCAAACCAAACATAAATTTCAAATAGAAATTGAAAGCCTGATAGTGATAATGTGAGAATGAACCGTCAAAACATTGGATAATATGAACGGATACTGTCATACCATGTGGCGTGTCTAAACACTTATTTTTCATGCTAGATACCCACTGCTCAGCAAGGTAATTACATGTTTCAAAGTCAATGTGCAGAGTTCTGTTTATGTATAAATTAAATCTTATGTATTATTTATGTTATTAGTGATGTGCGTATGTACATGGCTCACTTTAATAAGGTGAAGATGGTGGACCCCAAAGTTCACAGTTATGTAAAATTAAACTAAAATATTATACTACATAAGTATGTGCATTGCATTATGTACATGTATGTGCATAACATAATGTATTATATAGATTAAATTTTATGTACATTAAATAATAACAATTTAGTCTATAACTACATGCAAATACAAGCAAATATCATTGAATACGGCCATTGAATACAGCCATTGAATACAGCCATTGAATAACCTATAGTTGTATTCAATGGCCATTGAATAACTTATAGTTGTATTCAATGGCTTGAAAATGTACTACTTTTGTCCATAATGACGTCACTTACAGAACTACGTCAAACTGTAATGACGTCACAACTAGGCAACCACAATTTTTGTAAAAAAGAAAGAAAAAAGGGCGGAACCTATGATGAATTTTAACGTTAGTGGTGATGATTTTTTTATGATAATCTAGATAGTACAGTGTATTTTAAGATTTGCATGTAGTTATAGAACAAAAACAGAACTCAATGACCATTGAATACCGTTTTGGTTATTTAATGGTTAACTCGAGTGTATCCCTGCCTCATACTTGCACAGTGATACACTCTCTTGAACCATTGAATAACCCGGGCGGTATTCAATGGTCATTGAGTTCTATCTATGTATTATACATGTATGTAGCACACTGTTACAAGAATAAAGCCTGTGGACCCCCAAGTTAAGAGATTTGTAAAGTATTATATTACATAACATGTGCAGTACAATATACATGTATATAATGTATAATTAAATAAATTAAATTTTGTGTACCAGTCTCTCGATAACAAAGATGAAACCAAGGACAACCCAAAAAATAGAATTATGTACATGTATACATACATGTATTATAATAAATAAAATATGTTGTTGACATACATGTACGTATCATGTGCATTACATAATATATAAAGAATTATATAAATTAAAATTCATGTACATAATAATGTATAATAAATGGAATTTTATGTACATAATAATGTATAATAAATGAAATTGTATGTACATAAAACTAATGTATAATAAATTAAATGTTATGGATAAGTATAATTGTATAATAAGATTGTATGATAGGTGTATGTATAAATGATGATTACAGAAAAAGAAATAAACAATTTGAATAGAACGAAATGGAATGAAGTTTAATGACTTGTCAACATAAATAATTCCAAGGAAGAGACGATAAAACCCCCACACTCGATAAGAACAGGAAGGCGGAAGATTCCCTAAAACAGTGCAGGCAAGTTCGGATCTCAGTGATGCATCCGGGGAAAGACAGGAACCAATCCTTGTAGATAAATCATAGAGGAGTATCCCGGGCATATTGCCCTTCATCAGCTGGGTTTTGTTAAATACCAGCTGATGAAGGGCAATATGCCTGAAACGTGTACTGGAATATAACTTTTATTAACCAATACAGTGTTGTGAAGTTTGTTGCCTGGGATACTCCTCTATGACTTGTCAACATGATACCTGGGTCATATACTCAGACAACATATATATGGATCATTTATATTTTCTACACTTACGTGTGTAATGTGAGTTAGGTGAATTTTGCATGTCTAGTCGTTTGGATGTGTACACATTGCGTGCACATAAAAGATCCCTTAGCAGTTGGAAGTCGATATAAGAGTAGGCTTTAGTGCCGCTCTCTGGGCAAAATTTTTCTCACAGCACACTGTATGACGTATGCCCGTCTTCATTAGCCCAGTTTGGAGCAGAACAGTAGGACGTTAAACCCCATTTCATTTCATTTGGAGAATTTTGCAGACTCTTCTTCTCTGACATTCACACCATCTGAACAATTAAGCATATGTCAGGCATCAAAACTCAGAAAGGTTCTTCTCGGCCAATGGTATATCCTCTGCAGTGGAGAGAGAGAGAGAGAAAAATGCGGTGTACCGTTCACTCAACACAAACTAGGTCATTTCGGGACTAACACATGGTATTTATTTATTTTATTAATTTGCTTGCACGTAAGGGTATTTTGCAGTGGGAGGAAACCGGAGGACCTGGAGAAAACCCACACGCCTTGTCACGTACAAGCGGGAAATCCAAACCACACCACTTGACTCAAATGACAGACCTTATGATGCAACGCGTACCTCTGCAGAGGATGCTGAATGTTACACCATTTTAAATTCATCATAACATTGTAAGCACTGAACAGAATTGAACCCTTAAAAGATTCAAGTTTCACAATATAGGGAATCACAAACTCTCAAATAACAATCAGTAGCATTAATGTTCAATGAGAGAGAGAGAGAGAAAAAGAGAAAGAGATAGAGAGAGAGAGAGAGAGAGAGACAGAGAGACAGAAATAGGGTCTTTAGCAGTGGGAGGAAACCGGAGGACCTGGAGAAAACCCACTAGTTCGGACTGGCGACCCTACTCCTTGCCACGTACAACCGGGGATTCGAAACCGTGCCAGTTGACTCAATGACAGGCCTTATGATACAGCGCACGTGCTAACCCATGTTCAATAGGGGTATTTGTAAATTTAATAGAGCAGTAAACTAAAAGTAACATTGGATACAGTTATAACATCATATCTACATAATCAAGTCCCCCCCCCCCTCCCCGTATTTCAATAAGAATACAAAAGCTGTCTATTAATACACTTCAACTAAAGTCAACACCAAATAATCATTAATGATAAGTAGCTTTTACTATGGAAGGGAAATAACTCTCTTTTTTTCCTCCTCTTAAAGGAGTAATATGTGCATCATGGGCAACTCATCAGAAATTATATTGATTAAATATTTCTAAATAATATAATCAACAAATAAACCAAAATGTTCTCAACATTTGATTAGCACCACAAATAATATAAAATGTTCTCAACATTAGATTAGTACCACAAAAAATATAAAATGTTCTCAACATTAGATCAGTACCACAAATAATATAAAATGTTCTCAACATTAGATTAGTATCACAAATAACAGAAAATGTTCTCAACATTATAAGTACCTCAAATAACATAAAATGTTCTCAACATTAGATTAGTACCACAAATAATATAAAATATTGTAATAAATAGAACAGATAAATATTGACTTGACAGTCATCCGGTGTTTGTCAAGGCTTGTTCTGTTGGTGCTACAAAGTTCTTTTTTACTGTATTTGTATTTAAAGTGTATTTAAACACAAAGATAACTTCACAAGTGTTATCTAATCAATGTTAATATTAATATTGTATGCTACATATCTAATTATGAAGAAAATCTTGTACAAAACTCTGATTTAGATGAGGCTTGTAAAGTCTCTGTTATATAGGGCTCTGTGTACTGTAAAGAACTGGTGTAATATAATATATGTAATACTGACGACCTGCCTATCACATAAAGACCTAATGTAATAAAATGGATGTAATATAGACGCCATGTCTGTTATGTAAAAACCTTGTGTAATATACATAAAATGGATGTAATATAGACGTCCTGTCTGTTATGTACAGACCCAGTGTAATATAAAGGATGTAATATAGACATCCTGTCTGTTATTTAAAGACCCAGTGTAATACAAAGGATGTAATAAAGATGTCATGTAAAGACCGAGTGTAATATAGATGTCCTGTTTGTTATGTAATACCGATGTCTTGTCTCTCATGCAAAGACCTGGTGTAATATAAAGGATGTAATATAAATATCCTACCTGTCAGTGGCCGCTGCTAATTTATTATGCTGTGTAATAGCATCTAAAACACATTCTTCTAACATTCTTATATGGGCTTCACTGTAAAGACAGTCAACATCATTATTACACTACATGCAAATATTACATTAAACATTGCATAATTATACTATAAAATATGGAAACTATTATAATAGATTGATGTGTGTACAAAGTTTCATAAAGATATCTTGAGCAGTTTATGAGATATACTCCAGAATATAAATTGTATACCAAAAACAAAGTCAAATTTATTTCCATGAAAACACAAAAATGACTAAATCCAAGAAATTTATGATTAGTTTTTTAAGTCACATCTGCCATATAGTTTGTGTACAAAATTCCATAAGATACTTTGAGCAATGCACAAGCAATGCTTTTATTGACCAATTTTCTATACATCAGTGCATTGAATTGAACGCAATAAAATCCAGCCTTTTCGCTGATGAAGAGAGAGCATTAACAAATGCTGCAATACATTCTTTTATATGATGTGTTTTTTGACAAAATAACAATCATTAAAGGTGCTAAATCGCAAAAACTTGGTACCTAGAAATTGACCCAAATGGGTCGCAACGCATATAATAATGTAATCTGATTGTATATAAACTGATTTACATTCAATTGTTTCCGTTTTGACTCTAATTTCAAATCAGTTATGTCCAGCGAAATAAGACATGTGTCTCAACCCTATAGCAATTTCTAGTGTCTGGGTTATTCAAGTCTATTCAGCAGGCTCTCCAGTTGAATATGTCTAGCCTCGTTCTTTCTGTTCACTTGTTGCAAATGACGCTAAAACGCACTATGGTACACAATGGTAAAATATTTATTTTGTCTTAAATATTGGATATCAGAAGCCTGCCTTTTCCTGGTAAGATCACAACATCAATGTTGATTTGAATTGACAAATAATTCGCATTTTCAACATGTAAGACTTTGGATGATATTGAGTTAGAGACTTATATTATATAATAAGCTACTTTAAAGTATTTTCTTTTCAAAAAAAGAAATAATATGATCAAATACATAACAAAACAAAGACAGCCTTTAGAATTAATTTGGTTACTAAACTGACAGAATTTACAGAAATCATATCCGAGAACTTAATATCTGAGATTAGAAATGAAATGAAATGGGGTTTAACGTCCTACTGTTCTGCTCCGAACTGGGCTAATGAAGATGGGCATACGCCATACAGTGTGCTATGAGGGAAATTTTGCCCGGACAGCGGCACTATGGCCTACTCTTATATCGAATTCCAACTGTCAAAGGATCTTTTATGTGCACACCAATGTGTACACGGGACCTCGTTTTTTTGTCCCATCCGAACAACTGGAAGCTGTCCTTGTCAGACCCTCCGTCCTGCATCACTGACAGGGGGGGAACCACGCCTGAAAATCTCTATGAACTTTCTCGGTCAATGCAGGGATCGAACACCTGACCTACAGGCTTGCGAGGAAATGTCTAACCCATTTAGCCAGATAAGAGGCAGGGAGTTTTCATTTAAGTGACAAGTTTCAGTGACAGGTAATTCATTGGCGCAAGTATTGGGGTAGTCACTATTTTCAAGTACCAAGTGCTCTAGGGTAAAAACGTGGTCAGTTTATGGGTTTGTTTTCAAAATAATTTACCTTTTCAGATTTGTTAAGCATACAATACGCCCATTGTTTTTAACAGTTTCTTCTTCATCCATAAGCTGTTGTTGTAGTTCACTGGGTTTACACAAAGATTCTATAGCTTGGGATAAACCATGCATAGCACTGTATTCATCTTCCATACTGTCTTCAGTGGGTGGACCAAGATAGGATAGACTCATCATTAACTATAATAAAACAAATCATGTACAATATGTTTAGAATTTTACTATTATGTTCAAATGCGACAGGAGAGGGTTTTTCAGTGCAATGTGAGGCAATTTGTACCAGAAATCCATCAAATTTGTAGAAATATTCATGATTCACTTTCCTAATTTCCACTCCCACCACCCTCCAACTTGTCAAACTGAGAGAACGCTTTTGAAGTTTGTGAATTATGGAGAGTTATTTTCAGCTCACTCTCCAAATATAGTAAACAATGACTGGTAACCCATCACTGATGGTAAAGTTTACTTTGGGCACAGTAAATGGTGCAGATAACCAAGAGTTTAAAGTAAGTACTTACATGTTGTATATTCTGTTCTTTTTGAAGCCATGAATTTAAACTATTATTACTAGACACCAATTGTATCTGGAAAATAAATACAAAATAATGCTACAAGTTTTAAGCTTTAGGACGTCATATTGAAAGATGTAGTAGTACCGTTGGCGTGTATCGCTAATGTATTCTTGAGATTAAGTGTTGCATTTGAACAGGATATAGGTACGGTGCCAATACCAGGATATACATGTAGACCCGAGTCCGAGTCTTCACTATCTATGATTGTCACAGAAACTCTGAGAAACAAATCAGTGCCAACAACATAATAAGAGTGCCTCTTCACTATCTATGATTGTCACAGAAACAAATCAACGCCAACAACATAATAAGAGTGCCTAGCCGACATGCAATAAATTAACTTACCAAATGATTAGCTGGAAAGATATCAAATATAATTCTCATATATTCTAGAACACATTCAATACACCAAGTCCATAGAGATTTAAAGATTGGTGCTGCAGGAATCATGCCTGGTGTTTTGGACTTGCTGATCACATCATAATCAATCGGCTCTTTACTAGATTTACTAAATATTGGTCCATGGTCCAACACAAAAACAGTTTTATGTGATTTAGGAATCATTTTGAATTTGCAGTATTACACTGATTTATAATTTACAGACTACACTATCTTTTTTACCATTACTTAAACCTATATATTAAAAAATCCATCAGTTCTTGTCTGCGATATAACCTCTCACACACTCTTCGTGATTGAAGTTACCGCCATACCAGCAAAAACTCTTTTAATTTTTGTTCAATGAATCAAGTCAAGTTTCCTTGATTGACGACAGTATCCTACTAATAAAATGACATGAGTGTTCACTGTCTAAAATTTTGAAATATTATATAGTAACTGGGGTAAAACTGTAATATTTATGCAAATATTTGGAAATTATAGTGCAAAAATAATTTCTATCTCGCCTCCATGTATTTTACCACTGTATTCCGATCAAAAGATGTTCATGGGCGCCGCCATATTGGGAGCAGTCTTTATTTTTGTTTTTGTAATGGTCGTTTAAAATATATCAGTAAATAAAAAATTATAAAAATTTGGTGTTTTAAATTTCTGTATCATCAAATATTACTACTAATAGTGGTATATACTGTTTTAACTTTAATACATTTAACATTACATTGGATAATTAAATGTATGGTCCCGGTTATAATTCGATATTTTGGTCAAAGGGGGGCAACTGTTTTTAATTCAACTTAAACGTTATTTCGTAATCCTACCGCTTCTATTGCAGTCATTTTGTCCAGTAGAATTCTATAGTTAAAAATAGGATCGTCTTGTGTCCCAATTCAAATTAAAAGTCTTCAAAACGAAAGAATGTAATGGACACAACAGCTTCCATCAATATCGGTAGAGCTATATAATTGAAAGAAGAGAATTTTGCCTGGATATAGCAGTGTTGTGTTGTCTCAGAAAACGGTGGTGTAGTCTCTTTGAATTCTAATTATTGCACACCAGTACAGAGATGCATCTTGTTCTTTTGTCCCATTAAAATGACTGGACAGTCATTCCTTATCATTCCTGCAGAGCTAATCCCTGAAATGTGGCTACATGCTTAATTCAAACATTTTATTATTGTTGGTTGTAGCGCTTATTTTCGAAAACTTCTAGATTCTAAACAGTTTGAGAAAGTGTCCCTTGAAGTATCCAGGTAACGAATCGACTAAAAAGGGTTTCTACATGATTAGTGTCTGGGTGATCGAATATTCAATGCCGATAAAACTCCGTCACTAAAGCAACTTCACGTCACATCCGTAAACAAATATGGCGTTCAGCGGACGAAAATCTACGTGGTCCAGCCAAAATGATGCCACAGATTATCTTGAAAAGCACAAAATAATGGAATTGTTTAATAACATTACTTCAAATTTAATTTACCATCGACCAGGTAATATTTATTTTTAATGTATGTCGCCGATTAATAGAAACACACCTAGGCCTAGATCAACAATGACAATGTTACAACATGTAAAAATTTGATTTGTTGTTTTGGCTAGTTAACACGCACAGGCCGGCTGTGTTTGTTTATACGATACCACCAATCCATACAATCGTCGGATGCAACATATCGAAAAGCTGTTTACAGTTTACACGATACAATGGTTCTATCCGTTTTGTTGCAAAATGACGTGATGAACAACATCTCTAGTCATTTGGATGGGACCAGAAGCAGAGAAACCAACGATTCTCATCATAATTATGATATTTATATACGCTTGTGAGAATATAATAGGGATAGGGCCTATCTCATGATCAAGCAAATAGTTTATCAATGTTAGGCACCTGATCAACTTGGATATAAACAATGATAATTTAGACTAGTTAATGATTTATTTTCAGTTGATTTGAAAAACCGGTTGCTAAGGTAAGGACTGATAGACAAGCTTAGTTATAGTTGGTATATTTGGCCTATAGCTGAGACCAACTCTTTGCTTTGTCAAACACTGGGTACCTAGGAATGATTACATTTGATAATTTTTTTTTTATTTTTTAGATGACCCCAAAAGCTTTATGATTGAAACTTTAGAAAAGCTCCAAAAATCAAAAAATTCGAAAGGAAACTGTCCAAGTTTATTTGATGACAGCAATATTCGATCTGTGTTTGGCATGTTAGATCCCACGAACAAAGGTTTTATAACACTTCAACAGTACAAAGAAGGTAAGTCTAATTGCCCGTAGGGGGGTTGGGTGGCTGAATGGTTAGCGCGTGCGCGCTGTCCCATAAAGTCATTGAGTCAACTGGTGTGGTTTCGAATCCCTGGTTGTACGTGGCAAGGAGTAGGGTCGCCTGTCCAATCTCGTGGGTTTTCTCCGGGTCATCCGGTTTCCGCCCACTGCAAAAGACCCCTACGCACAAGCAAATTATTGAAATAAAATTAAACCATGTGTTAGTCCCGAAATGACCTAGTTTGTGTCGAGTGGACGTTAAACCCCATTTCTCTCTCTCTCTCTCTCTCTCTCTCTCTAATTGCCTGTCTAAGACTGGGTGAACAATTTGGCATTATGACATACATGGCAGAACAGCCACACCATTGTCACTGGGTCCTGCAGTGGATTTTACTTGATTGTTTATTAAGGAGGCATTATGTAAGATTTAGGTAAAGAGCTGGTTGTTATTGCTATAATAATTTAAAAATAGATAAGGCAAAATGAATATTGAAAATTACATACAAATTACTTTATTCTGAATGAAGATATTAGCCTTTGAAGGTTTGACCAGATGTTTTGCACTGATTGTTATCACTGTACTGGTTGTTCAAGGCTTAGACCCACTTCAAGATTTTTAAATTAAATCATTAAATGGCTGAACTGTTCTAATCTACTTAAAATCAGACCCATCCGATGGCACCATGAGTTGATTATGGTCTTGTCATGTTGATAGATGTCTAATTAATAGTTTATATAACATTTTTAAAGGCGTAAAGAAAGACCTGCAAAAGTCAGATTTGCTCTTGCATAATAACTGTTTAAACATACATTATGCAAGAGCTAAATCTGCCTATTGCAAGTATTTCTTTAGGCCTGAAATGTTATCTAAATTATTAATTAGAGATTAATTAACTTATCTAGACCATAATCAACTCTCGGTGTCATTGCTAGTGATATTTACTGGATTAGGATCGGATCTGCTGCTCTATGCTCATTCATGATTTAATCAAGAAATGGATAATCGAGACTATGTATTTTATTGTACCAACTTTAGTTATGATGATCGAGGCTAGACTCAAAATTCAATCTCTAAATTCTTGGTTAAGAGTGGATCAATTTGACTGAAATTTTCAGCAAATTGCCTTTACATTATCTATTTTTTAACTACATTATAGTTAGAAGTGCCAGCTCTTTATCTAATCTCCCATAATGTATCTTTAAGGAAATGAAATTAATGGAGTTTAACATCTCCTTAACACATTACATTTTGAGACTAACCTGCATTTATTTTTTCTTTGTGCTAGAGAGAAGAATTTTGTCAAATTCCAACTGTCAAGGGTTCTTTTAAGTATATGCGATTGGAACAGTTTGGGAGTATTGCTGCCTTCCTAAGAAACCTGCATCAATGGTTGGGAGTCCAGTAGCTGTTCCCTTACCACTTGATTACCATGACTCTAATAAAACCCCAAATACTGTGGCTTGTGACATCTATGAGATTCCCCCAGTACTCCTTTTAAAAAAGTGGTTTTGATTCCCCGGTTGTACGTGACAAGAAGTAGGGTCGCCTGTCCAACCTCGTGGGTTTTCTACGGGTCCTCCGGTTTCCTCCCATTGCTAAAAACCCCTACGCACAAGTGAATTATTGAAATAAAATAGAACCATATGTTAGTCCCGAAATGACCTAATTTGTGTCGGGTGGACGTTAAATCCTATTTCTCTCTCTCCCATTTAAAACAAGTTTATACATGATATCATCAGTAAAATGTGAACTGGGTGATGTGTTTATATGCCAGGGGCAGTGTACCAATAGTCAAAATTTGTCTTTTGCAATGACAATGCAAAGTAAGCTGTTGATAAATTTAAGCTAAAGGTATAAATAGCGTTGATTGTACTAAATTTTTATATGATTCATTAATCGTCTCATTTATATCAAAATTAATGTAATATCATTAAATTTTAAGCAATGACAACCTTGGGAGTTCAAAATTATCCGAGCACACCAGAATTACACGAGAATGAAATGATTAACATGGATACATTTTATAGAGATGCGTAAGTACATACTACTATATATTAATCAATTTATTTTACTTCTTGACAATCTTATATCTAAGCCAATAAAAATGTGGAGCCTTTTAAAAAATATTAATATTAAGAGACAAAACTTTCAGAAATACCAAAGTGTTATAATTAAATTGAAAGTACAATGTAGCTAGTATTGTTTTATGGTTGCTTAGTTACGCATTTGTTCTAATTATTGTTGAGCCTGTATTGTTTAATATTTATGAAGCGGTTAAACATGTAAAACTATTTCTGAGATGGTACATTTTGACTGAATAGGAATATAAATTACTGTTACTGCTTAATTCAGAATCAGACATGGATGTTCAGACAAGCTTTTTAAATGGCTACACAGGCATTTTTTATAGAAATTATTCAGAAAATATTTAGCAATATGCATACAATATTTTGACATGTTTTTTCCCTGACCAATTGGACAGAATCTAGATACACCATTCGTTTATGAATATCACTTGTTGTTCTATAATTAATATCTAATTTTATAATTATGTTGTTTTTCAGAAAGAAGGGCCTAGAAAAAGCATCAGCAACGTATGCTAGTTGAGATTTATATCTTTATTAATTTAAATTATTATTTATTGTATCATGTCTGTTGAACAAAGATGGAGATTTTATGTTTGTATATAAAGAATTTTTATATAATATTCCAATTAAAAACTTGTATTTTCTCTTTGCCCACATTTAATGGGGTGATATATTGTAGCCACCTAGGAGTGTTGGATGGGTAGATGGTTAGCACGTGCACGTATCATAAAGTCTGTCATTGAGTCAACTGGTGTGGTTTCGATTCCCCAGGTTGTGCGTGACAAGGAGTAGGGTCGCCTGTCCAATCTCATGGGTTTTCTCCTACTGCTAAAGACCCCTACGTGCAAGCGAATTATTGAAATAAAATTGAACCATATGTTAGTCCCAGAATTACCTAGTTTGTGTCGAGTGGACATTAAATCCCATTTCTCTCTCTCCCTCTCTCTCTCTGTAGCCAGCTGAGAAGAATCTCAGAATTTTTCAAGCCTTGTTCTAGAGCTGGGGTTTTCAGATGGTACAAAAAAAACCTAGGTCCCCTTAAATTATATTCTGTACCTCATTTCATCAACACATTAATGAATGGATGAAAATATTTTTCATGGAAAGGTGGCGTGGGGTTAAAGCAATATGTTGCAGAAATGAATATAAAGAAATTAATGTGGTGTAACATCCTACTTTTCTGCCCCATCTAGGGTAATGAATAAAACTGGGCATGCAGTGTGTATTGAGTGAAATTGGCCCAGAGAGTGGGGTTTCCACAGAATTCCAACTGCTATGGAGTCTTTTACATGAGGCCTCGATTTTCGTATCATCCAAGAACTAGACGCTGTTCTTGATGCTCTTTCAAAGAATTACCAACATCCAGTAATCAGTGGGGGGTTGGATGTCTGAATGGTTAGCACGTGCGCGCTGTATCATAAAGCCTGTCATTGAGTCAACTGCGTGGTTTCGAATCCCCGGTTGTACGTGACAAGGACTAGGGTCGCCTGTCCAACCCCTTGGGTTTTCTCCGGGGCCTCCGGTTTCCTCCCACTGCTAAAGACCCCTACGCGCAAGCGAATTATTGAAATAAAATTAAACCATGTTAGTCCCGAAATGACCTAGTTTGTGTCGAGTGGAGTTAAACCCCATTTCTCTCTCTCTCTCCAGTAATCAGATGGAAATGAGATTCTTAACTAGTAAACATTGTATGCCTCATAAACCTTTCCTTGTGGATGTTGAGTGACAGCTTCAGCTTTTATGGTTTACTGGGGTGTGGCCATTCCACAGTGATTTCTAATATTAAAAAATTGGTGTCTATACACTTCAATAACCTAGCCTGGTTATACTAACAGTTCCCATATGTTTATTTATTTTAAACGACAATCAATAGGGTTGGGGGTTGCAAATAGGTCTTTATAAAATGGCTATTCTTTAATTATGGAGACAGAAACTCCGGTGATCAATGCAAGACTTCTACTATGCTCCGGTCTGCAACGACTGTATAAAACCGCACAGTTTCACTTAGCTTGAAGAGTTCGCATAAGAGCCAGTTCATTTACATGAAGTGTAGAGATACACCAACAATATAAACAATCCATTGACTTGCAACTATGTGAAAATAAAATGTAAGAAATTATAAATGTTTATACTTTAATTGAACATATATATACCGGTAGTATGATGAACAATGAAATGATAACAATATAAAACGATATATATATATATATATTATCTTGTGATAACAGTAAATTTATAGTATATTATTATATAGTCTGATAGCAACACTAACAATATTAATAACAGAATACAACTAACAACAACTTCAAAGTAACTTAACTTGTATATACATTATTTAACAAGATGTAATTCAACAATAAAACTGTGTTTATATTCATATATTATGTTCCAAACTTATACTTTGTACAATATTTACAGTCTTACTATTCAAAATTAACATTAATGCAAACAAAATTAATATTAATGCAAACAAATTTAATGTTAATGCAAACAAATTGAATATTATTGCAAACAAATGTACAAATGAGGCAAACCTGTAACTATCATTAACAAGTCAATTAACAAAAAATCTTTGAACACTCTGTTTACATTAAGATTTATTTAAATGTGCAAATATCTGAATTAAATGGTTTTTTCATGCCTTAAAATACAGATGGAAAAGTAATTAGTTACAAAATTCAAATAAATATGGACTGTTTCCTAGGTGATTTTGTTCTGGGAGCAAATGGACCAAAATATATATTATCGCATGATCAAAGAATAATTATATAAAATAAAACAACTATTAATTTACACGATTCTAACAATTATCAAAAATATAATTTGTATGTGTACTTCACGAAGGAAGTGGTATTAGATGTTCTAGAAGGAGAAAACATACAAGGGTTTATTTTATACCAACAAATGGTCATTGGGGGGGGGGGGGTATCTACTGAATCCAGGGTTAAGAAATCAAAATGTTAGGGTAGAATTTTCTATAATGATCGTTTTCTTTTTATATTTTAAATTTAATGCTCGCTGCTTTCTTACATTTAGGTCAAATAAACAAATGTAATGAACATAAATAATTTCATACAAGAGGATCATTAAAGTATTTTCATATTTCATTAGGGATCAAATTCAGGAAAACTTAAACTAAAATATGACAGCTGGATCGAGTCGGTGAATATATCATCAATTAATAGATAAACATCTCCTGTTTAGAATTTATCTCACTGTTCTTATTAGTGTTTAACGCCCGCCCCACTTCCATTGATGGTGATATTACAGACATATTATCTTATTTTATTATGGTTAGTGCAAGCGCAGGGGTCCTTCCTGTAGGAGGAAACCAGGGTACCTGGAAGGTGCCCTTCTTTCTAAGCCACCTATGCTCACATCAGAGATAAAAACCATGACCGCAAGTCAGAGCTTGAAGCACAACACTGATCCAGTTGGCCATCCCAATCCCCCAATTCTATTGTTCATTCCAGTTCAAGATTGCTTCAAATGGAATATTTAAGAGGTATCAAATGAACAGTGTGATAAATTCTAAGTAGGAGGTGTTTATAAATATTGTAACCCAATATTTTAAACATTTTCTTGGAATTCTTTTTCGTTCGTTTAAGCCAAGTAATACAACACAAAAATCAACTTTGTGGTAAAAAATTAGGTTACGTAATAAGATAAAACACTACTGTTAGTCAATTTGGATAAATTTCGCTGTGGATGACATACAAGCATGACTTTATAAAGATTTGCTGTAAAGAAATTTGTCAAGTGTGAATTTTCTCTATTACCATGGTAATAATATACTTCCTATACGAGTCGACCAATGTTTTCAACACCAGAATCCAAGAAATTGCCATTTTGGGCTACAATAATTAATAAATATACAAGGAAATAACGGAGGGAATGTACAATAAGTCTTGGTCGAAAGTCGAAATTAATTTCATTATAAATTTTGATAATATGCTCCACTTATTAAAAGTTTTAAGGTAAAATAATGAATACCGGACAATTAATTTACAGTGTATCTTAGTATTAATAACATGTATTCCAAATTTTGACATCAAATTTTAATTTCCAGAGAGTACATTTAAGCTTTTGGGTTGTTTTTTTTTTTTTATGAAAACTTATTGTTACATTCCCTCTCTCTGAAATGAAAAAAACAAAAAAAAACCTTTTTCTCCTCCCCCTCCCCAAAGCCTATAAACAAATAGAAAAAAAATAACCAAAACATAAACAAAATCATACGTAAATAAATTTTCTTAAAAAGCCAACAATTAAAAACAGATGGGATAAATTATATACATCAGTAATTCAAATACCCTCATTAATATCTTTTAAACTATTATCTTAAATTTAAAATAGAAAATTAAACTACTGCAATGTGGTTTCAAATAAAGTTCCAAATATGGTGTTCACATGCTATATCTAATTAATTTGATATTATCATAGGATACTAATTTTGTTAAAATTATTATTATTCTTTAAATTTTATTATGATGTCAAATGTTGTTATTAACATTTATTATGTCAAAATTATTCAAAAACCACTCAAACAAAATTTGAGAATAAATTGTCAAACCAGAATTATGTCAGAAAAAAAATGTATCGAAAATACAGTAACAAAAAAAATTAATGGATAAATTGTTATATTAGAATTATGCCAAATTTATTTAAATATTATTATGCCAAATTTTTATACTTTAGAATTATGCCAAATTTTTAGACCTTAGAATTATTCCAAATTTTTATACTTTAGAATTATGCCAAAATTTATAGAATTGATGCCAAATTTATAGAATTGATGCCAAATTCATAGAATTTAGAATTATGGAGAATTTATAGAATTTAAAATTATGACAAATTAATAGAATTTAAAATTAAAATTTATAGAATTTAAAATTAAAATTTATAGAATTTAGAATTATGAAAAATTTATAGAATTTAGAATTATGAAAAATTTATAGAATTTAGAATTATGAAAAATTTATAGAATTATATCAATATATGTCAAATTTATTGATCATATTGTAGCATCTATTATTAGCACACAGTCACATTCTAGCTGACAACAGATGAACAATAATGTGACCTGTAGAACGTTTACAAGGTTGCAACGAGCAATGAATTACGCAAAAACAGAAATTTTATATATTCTTTTCCTGTAAATGTATTCTTAAGAACATAACCTATTAATTTGTTTAATCATATAGTGCGTATGTTAAAAATTAAATTAATTTAAGTTTAGGCTTCTATTGAACCTCTTTGTCATTTCCTGGAAAATGACCATAAATCTTTTCCATAAAACTTATATTTTAAATAATGATGTGCCAATTTCCTTTCTTGCTTTTTGAAAACATTTGTTCGTGTGTTTATATCTGATAATAATCATTGATTTTCTTACAGGTTTACCCCTTTGGACCAAGTCTGGAAATAGGGCACTGGTCACAGACACTGTCAGGCACAATTCCTCTGATGCCAGCAATATGTCTGGCCCAGTTTTTATTGACATTTTGTCAAGTATAACTAAAATAATTTTTTCCAGGCCCGAGTCGATAACATTAAATATTAGTAAACAATTTTAATACATTATTCAGTTACATCTTAAATTTCAACTATTAGCGGCTATCAGCCTACAATAAATATTTACAATTTAATTATCACATCCAACATATAATCTTAACAATTGTATTAACAATTTATATTAACAATTTATATTTACAACTCTATTTATAACTATATTTACATTTTCAATATCACATGTAATGCATCATTCCTTTTATTTACAAATCAAATTGGATTTATAATAATGGCACTTGGACGCAACTGAGCGCTCAATTTTTTTTTCTAATTTTTCTGTGCTGTTGGCACTTTATACGCGCGATTGAGCAGTTCTGGATTACATAATCACACCAGTCTGATTCCAATTAGCACTCTTTCATATCACAATTAACCATTCATACTCTATTTACAAAATTCTTATGTTTACACTTTCAATGCATAAGCGGCACAAAAATGAACCGGGATACTGATTGGATGAAAAACTTTCTGACTTGAGTAACTTGAAGTTTCAAACAAGTCTGGCAGGAATGACTGATTAACAGAAATGGGAACATAATGAGTGCCTGAAGGATGGATAACGAAGCCTGGTAAACAAGTTAGAGAACTCTCACCATCATCTCTCTTTTCATTGTTAGTATTATCCATAGTAATGGGCATATTATTCAATGAAGAGGACGATGAACAAGATGACATGGGACTTGAACTGTGGCAGGATTTATGATATCGGCTGGCCACATGTTTGGGTCGAACCTCTCTTTCCTGCTCGTGGGAGCTCACCGATGATGTGTCGCTTTCCTTCTCTTTAGAAAATCTTCTTCGGATACAATGTTTAAATTTGTAGTACCCTTTGCTTGTTTTACTTCTTTCTTCCATGCTGTCATCTGAAGACGTCTGACTACTAAAAGTTGAATTATTATTGATGGATTTGATAGAGACACCAGAATCTGTCTCCAGGTCGGACATTCTATGTGCTGTCATCCCCATAGCAACATCATTATTATCAGCATCACAGGACATTTTCTTGGGTATGTCACCTTCATTTGTGAGAAGACATTTTGCTTCTGTATCTATAGGTATAAACTTGGTTTCACGCTCTGTATTAATTTCTTTTCCTGCCTTGACTTGTAAATCTGAAAATATGTCAATATTGATATGTAATGATTTGGATAAAAAAAAGTGTCTAATTAAATTTGATGTTGATTTGTTTTGCCGAGTGGGCACTGTCGAAATCTAAAATTTAACATTCATATAGTGCCAATGAATGTTAATGTCTCTCTGAAATTCGCCTGCAAGTATGGGTCTTTAGCTATGGGACGAAACCAGAAAAAACCCACAAGGTTAGACAGGCGACCCTATTCCTTGTCCCTTACAAGGGGAGAATCGAAACCATGCCACTTGACTCAATGAGAGACCATATGAAGCAACATGCATGCGTCAATCATTCGGCCACCCAATACCCCACCCGCCATAGCCAAACAAAAGAAACCTAATGGCTTTCATCTCAACATTAGTGTTATTTTCAGTGTGTAGGAGATACCGGTAGCTCTAGTAGCTCGAGGAGTATGGTGCCGATTCAGTAACCAGGGGAATCCCAGGTTTAATCCTGTAGTTGGCAGAAAAAGTTCCTTGAGATTTTCCTACCGGATTTCCCTTTGTTAGTTGAGCAGAAATCAAGGCCTCTCAAAAAAAAGTATCTGGTCAGTTGGATACGAGAAAAACTGGGGGTCTGTGTTTACCAAAGACAGACAGAAACTGAAGTATGCTTGTTTTCATTAGCCTATTTTGTGCATTAAAATAAAAAAAAAAATCATTTGTTAAAGAATGACACCATCTCCATTATTCAATATTTGTGATCTGCCATTTTGTTATTCAGCAATAAGTCAACTGTACTAAATTTTATCTAATCTCACCTGTCACTTCGTCAGCCATTTCTTTACTCTTTTTATCTAAATGACTGCAGACTCGGCTACAAAACGGATTTGATGCACTCACTCCTTCAACATCCACTAAAAAGTTGAAAACTTCTTTCTTACACAGCTGAAATCCATGGATAAAAGACTGTTTGACCTCATCTTTAGACACCTGCACATCAGATTTGTTAGCTGGAATTTAAAGATACCAATCAAAGTTACTACATGTGAATATCATACAGCTGCCGCATTGCACTGTAAATCTCCAAGAAAACAACAAACAGGTTGCCAGCAAACACGATAACTGTCTATGTCAACAGAGCAATATATAAAACTAGGTGCATTGTGATTCTGTTGAAGGTAACTATAGAGCCTTTACAAGACACTAAAAAGTGATCAAGGGCAACAACCCATGAAGTAACTGTTCAATAAGAGAGAGACAGAGATGGGGTTTAATGTCCACTCGACACAACTTCAATAATTTGTTTGCATGTAGGGGTCTTTAGCAGGGGGAGGAAACTGGAGGACTCGTAGAAAACCCATGAGGTTGGACAGGCGACCCTACTCCTTGTCATGTACAACCAGCTGTTCAATAGGATTCTTCCTTGCTGTTACATAAACATACAACATCTACAAGATTTATCAAGGTGATCAATGATAGACCTTATGATCTAAAGCACACGAGTCATACTACTCGACCACCTCCCGTTTATAGAATAACCTACTGGAAACAATACAACACCTAGTAAAACATCTAGTTTTAATTTGGTTAACTCACCATGTTTAACTTGAACTTGTAGTGAAGTAATATGCTTGATGGCCATTTCAATAATTTCTGTCTTTTCTATTCTACCTTGACCCTGAAAAGAAAAGATTCATAAGTTTTCCTTCGAAATAATGTCAACGATAAATTTGACGAAAAGAGTTTATGTGTCTATTTTATGCTGGTCATTAGAAGACGATCGTGAAATAACTAACAGAAAAAAAGCTGACTGGAACAGCCACAAGCACTGGTCATCTCAGCAACTGGTCATCTTAAGAAAATCAAAATTGCTAATGTTGGTACTGCAATCCATTAAAGCCAAACGCAGGATAAGTATATATTTAAGCTAATGAAATGATGTTTTGGAGCATATAAAGCCACTGAACATTCATATAAGCGTGTTTTAGTTTATGCCGCAATTAAAGACTTCACAGGGTAAGCTGCCATGACATGGAGGTGCATGCTCAAACTTACATCTTTTTGATTTTGATCCTTTAAAGACTGATATTTTAATGCTTAAGAAGTGGGCATTTAATAGAAGCAAATTGCGAGTCAGCTGCCATGACATGGAGGTTCATGCTGAAACTTACATCTTTTTGATCCTTTTAAGATTGATATTTTAATGCTCAAGAAAAAAAAAACAATGATAATTTAACAGAAACAAATCGTAATTTCATTCTCATGACCAACCAAGATGAAATATTGTCTATATATTATCGCTATTGTCAGAACTGCTGGTGGTTTAGCTGCCATTGACATTTTTGGGAAAAATCCCGCTGAGGAATAAAAAAAAAGGGTAAAAAAAAACTGGAGTGGAGGAAAAAATGATTGGGCCAAAAAGATAATTATTATAAGAATGGGGCAAATAAAACAGGTGTAGAGAAAATGATTCTTTAGAAAAAAAAAAAGCTAATAAAACGCCTACATGTAGTACCTTCTTACAATTCTGCTTTTAAAAAGTTTGGGAAATTATACATGTACCTCGTAATGTATACAAACCTTGGCGGAGACATACTACCTCTTTTATATTACATAACATTACTCACAAAACACGGTCCCCTCATACTCTATAACAAGCTAGACTAATTCAAGCACTCCTGCAAAATCGATATATGAGAAAACTTGACGATGTAAGGGACGTGCACAATGACTTTTCTGTCGAAGACAAACACAAAAATATTTAATCAAACAAAAATCCTGAAATAGGAGCCCAAAAGGGAAACTTTTAAGTCAACAAAAACCAAAGACACAGTCGAGTTTGATAGGATGAGTGAATGGCACTATTAGTGCTTGTTGTGAACTCAACATGCAATAGTTCATTTAGACCACGCAACAGAACATATAACACAGACGGGGGCTTGTTAGGCCCCTTAAAACAAAGACAAGCAGCAAAGTCGTACACTGAAATAAGGGTCACAAAAAATCTTTGGGAAAAAGTTTTAAACAAAGCCAAATAGAAAGATACCAGATCCAAAAAATTTCTAATTTAAACTCTCTCTTGCTTCAATGAATAATCACGTTAAGTTTTTGTTCTTTTATCGCGTTCACATGATTACACCAATTTAAAAAAATTAATTTTGACATGGCTCTTTCTTAGGCCCAATGAACTACATGTATCCCAACAAGTTTTAAAAAAATTACAAGCTTTTAAAGTCAAAATATGACCAGAGAGTACAAAAGTAAATGGGAAAGAATCCATCCTTTCGACGAATTCCTGTAAATTTGGAAAAAGTCGGAGAAGATTTGTAGTATGTAAGGTTGGACAGACAAGGTAACAACAATATACGTCCACATATAAATGATGTATAAAAACGTGGAATAAACGTCCCATGTGACGATTTGCTTACATAGTTTCCTCATTTTAAGGATAACCTCTATGTTTAACCTAAGACTGGCATTAAACTAACACGAACCTTCAAACGAACAATATGTATTAAAGAAAATCTGCATTGTAATGTGTAACATATCATTTCAAAGAAACTTTCCTCGACACCACCAGCTTCAGTGTTATCAATATAACTTTGAAACTTTGACCTGAAAACTTTCCTTGAAACTAACCAAATATTTCATTTTAAAATGAGACTTTCATTAATACACACTGGGTTTGTAAAAATGCATGCGGACTTTAATGCAAGTTCAGTTCTAAGCATAGATATTACACCAAACTAAAATTGGACAATGAAGAAAGAATATAGGCTCTGATGTTTGCTCTAGGCATACTGGATACTTTTCAAATGTTTGATTGTCAATATTTCGATTTCAGAATATGATTTTTTTTTAATATTAAACATTTCAAATTTTGGTCAGTTCTCTTGAAAAGAACTACTGGTAATACTTTTTTTTCTGAATTCTGAATTCATTTGAGATGTTAAGAAATCTGTCATGAATTTGAAATATTTAAGTTGTTGCCGACAAGTTCCTCTATTTTTATACTTAATTAAGTTAAAGACAATGCTGACCAATTCAAGAATCTGAATTATTGTTCTTCCCAATCAATTCCACAGTTTATTTTGAATCAGGAATATTGCCGGAATTTACTAAGCATGAAATCTTAGCCTAACATGTTAGGAATTACTGAAATTGACCAGCTCTAGGCTTAAAAGGCAAAATGTAATATGGGAGATAACTCTAGAGATTCTTGATGTGGTCAGCTTGTCATACAACATAAGGAAATATAGGAAATGAAGTGATACATGAACATAAGTGATAGGAGATGTTTAGAGAGTAGTTATGAAATGATCCAAAAAGAAAAAAAAAATATTTTGTGAAAATATAATTAAACATGCAAACAAAGAGTTGAAACAAGTCAAGAGTAAGGAAGATATCCCCCATCTCGATCACAAAATAAAGAGATGACATTCGCCTACTGAAAGAGAGAGAGAGAAATGGGGTTTAACATCCACTTGACACAAACTAGGTCATTTCGGGACTAACATATGGTTCAATTTTATTTCAATAACTTGCTTGCACATAGGGGTCTTTAGCAGTGGGAGGAAACCGGAGGACCCGGAAAACCCCCACGAGGTTGGACAGGTTACCCTACTCCTTGTCACGTACAACCGGGGAATCGAAACCATGCCAGTTGACTCAATGACAGACTTTATGATAAAGCATGCATGCGCTAACCATTCGACCATCCAACACCCCTCACCCAATAAAGCACACAGCTAATGTCCCCAAAAGTCTTGACTGATCAAATTGCTTATCTCTGATAAGCATAATGGATCTTAGTTCATCTTTACCAAGTTTCAACATTCTAGATCAATTAGAAGCTGAGTTATTGTGTACAGACAGGAAATCGGACGGACAGACAGACAGACAGACAGATCCAATTTAATAGTCTCCTGCTTTCTTTAAATATTTTGTCTAAGTTCAATTGGACAGTAAATTTAAATCACATGTATTGTTCTACAATTACTGGATTACTTGAACTTTGCCCCTTTTTAATGATAAAAGAATTGAAACATCTAGCAAATAAAGGAATATCATTTAATATAATTTTGACCTTTAATTTGCTTGATAAAAGAATTAAAACATCTATGAAATAAAGGTATATGATTTAATATAATTTTGACCTGTAACTGATATACATGTAGACATGGTAAACCAGACATGATCTTTATTTCTAAAGATTAGTATCTACCAGGGAACTCTCAATGTAATCCAGTCTATGTATAAAACTATAAGACAAGTGGGCGGTTATTTCTAGAAAAGCACTGATTTGGTTTCCGAAGCATTTTTTAATACTATTATATTCAACAAGACAAATTATAAAAGTAATTACGCGACTGTTTATTCTACAACAAAGTAAATAATCGTTCTATGTTATCATGATGTTGTTTCTACATTAACATCATAGCAAGCAGTTTCATCATTGATATTAACCAAATGGCTGACTTATAGCTGAAACTGACAAATGAGAATATGCATTCTTATTTTATCATTAACAAGATTAATTAATAAGGTAAGGTGTATGATTTCATTTTTACTGTGCATCAGAAAAACCTAATTTTAAATAAAAATCAAAATCAGTGGCAAACTACTGATTCCTGTAAATATATGTCTCTGTTTTAAAGGCTTTTAAAAAAAAAAAATATTTTAATAAATTTTGTTTCTGATTTGTTATGTTCTGAAATTTTAGTCCAGATTTTGAATTTTAATACAGATTTTATATGGGCGCAATATGGATAATAGGATAATTCTAAACGGACCACTTGTCTTAACTAAACAAAAATCAGGACTGCATTTAACAGGGAGTATTTCATTCAATATATTTTGCACTGATAATTCATTATTCTAATCCTGGCATAATGATAATGTGCACCTTGAAATGTTGTGAACTAAAATGCTGCATAAAGATATGAAATGATATCTTGAATTTAAAAGGTGACAAAGAACCCAAGCCAAGAAATTATAAATGCCAAGATGATAGCACATGATAAAGACAACATCACATGATAGAAAGAATAAGCATGAAGTAGGAGACTACAAGAGTTATTAAAGATTGGGACTGTCGAAGTAACCAGTTGCAGGTCTATTCAACAATTAAATTTCTTTTACAAATTTAAGTACAAATGTTGGTATTTCGTCAAAAATTAAAACCTAACGTAAAATTCAGGTAAGACAAGAGTGCTACAATATGAAATCGCTTTGTTAAATACAGCCCTGAAAAAAGTGACAAACATGTGATTTAACATAAATAAGTTCTTCAGTAAGTCTTCTTACCATCGCTGAAGGTAGATTCGTTAATAATTAATCCAAATACCATTAATTTGGCAAACGAATTCAGAATTCCATGAGTATTCTTACACCACTTAAGTTTGGATGTCTTGGAAGAATCCACACTTACCCGGGAAGAACCCATGAGGTGACATTGCGCCCCGTACTTTATATAACTTACGTTACACATGTATCGTTCCCCTGCGGCAACAACATCAGTAGTAGTAGTAGTAGTAGAAACAGGCATGCTACAAAAAAGAACCGCTGCAAACCCAAATGCAATAAAAAGGCAAAGATACATTTAATCGATGCTGTATAAATAACCAAAACAAAGAACTTGAGCATTGTTAATAGTACTTATATTTTGAGAAGACAACAGATAACAAGCACGGCTATGCAAAATTCATTTTTCCAAACAGTCAAATCATTTCACCAAGTACTCTCATTTAGTGTAAAGATAAACACAAATCTACAAATACTTCAGAACCAGAAACCTTGGACAATCGACTGCAGAATTTAACCAAATTTCAATCATAAAAATAACTTTTGGAAAACTTGGGTAAATTCTCTTGTCAAGTGATTATTTCTGTGTCTTGAGTGGCCACAACATGCCTTTCTAAACTATGAATATTACTATTGCACACTACTTTTTGTAAATCCAGTCCATAATTTATGCAATTTTTAACACATTTTAAACCCCATTTATTAACAAAACTTGATTAAACCCAATTGTAAAATATATTTCACATCATTTGTATACCGCTGTATTCAGTGAGGTCAAACCAATTATTAATGCTGTATTCATTACAGCTCCGAAATATCATGTTCAGAATATATAAAGCAATGTCAGCACAAAAAATGTGCATTCTTTACTGACAGTGGAAAATATAATTCAATAGTGCTCAATGTTTTGAACTTACACATTTCAATCTCAAGTTAATAAAATGTGCCCCACCTCCCATTGTTTTGCCTATACTTCTATTATTATCTCAAATCTATTTTTACTAAGAATACACAGCTCGAGCACTCAAGTCTAACAGTGTATTGATTGTGCCATACACGCTTAATCACTACCAGTAACGACCATTTGACTTTTCTCTTCTTATAAATAAAGCAGAGTAAAAAAAAATCATGTTTTCAACAATTAATGCAAAATGTCAGAAGGTTTAATCTAGTTTTGTGAAGTGTATGTCTCCGTCAAGAAACACCCAAAAGGGGTCAACAAAGGACGTATTAAGAATTGCATAAACTACAAACTTTCTGATTTACAAATAAATATACATGTATAATAGCAATATTCATAACAACAGGTCAGGTACGTCATAGCTAGTTTATGGATAGTCTTTACACTAAACACGACCACCAAAAACTTGGCGAAATAAACCCATGTTTGGAAAAATAAAATTTGAGAAACCATACCATGGACAGAGTCATCCTTTCTAAATATAAATACTTCTTCTAAAAATGAAGTAAGTAACTTGTTTGGGTTATCTATTTACAAAAACCAAATCATTTATTAGATGTACCTAGTCTTCCAATTCATTCAAGAAGGTGTGATCCCAGTCTCAAATGAGCATCATTTAAAGGAAGATGCTTAATCAATGATTTTAAAGTCAGAATATCTTTTCTCCTGCAGCCCCATCAGCTAGGTCAGAGCTAGTACCAGTACTCATCTCTGGTGAAATATGTTAATTAGCATAAAAAAAAAATATGATGTTAGCTTAACAAAGATGAATACTTGAGCCCAAAATCTGACATCCAGCTGATAGAAGTAACTGTCTTTTTGGTTGTTTTACAAAGCACAAGGAAGACTTGCATACATGTAAATCATAGCTCCATTGACCATACGTGTATGTAAGTACGCCTCCTAAAATCTGCCCCTCAGTTTTAAACACCATACGCAGCACACTTCTGAATAGCTGAAGGCATTTAGTAACTGGATAGAGTAATAAACTATAACACATACTTATGGAAGAAGAATTGCTAATTTATTTAGGCAACATTTCAAAGAGTTCTTCTCAACGTTTTCGTATATGTCATCCAAATAAATTAACGATTGTTCTCAAGTAAGTATGCGTTATAGTTTATTACCAATATAGTGCTTGTTGCCGGTCTTCTCAAGTAACATATATGCATCTTTAGTTACTGTAGACAACAGGTCCATATGATTTTGCCAATTGCCCGAGATTTATATTCTTTTCATCATTCTAAACCAATGAATATGCCCACTTGTAGGTTTTGTAAATGGTAGCATTGCAAGTAATGACAAGTTAGCATTCTATGGCCAAAAGATCTAGTAGAATATACATGTACAGGTATAATGAGAGTTCACAAGCTATTTCTAATATATTATCACAAATTCAAGGGGAATAACTCTGAAAGTTTTGGATGAATCAAGTACAGATTCAACCCTATGAGATATCAAGGATACCAATTTTCCAATTACAATAGGATTTAAAATAGAGATTATCATATAGATGCAACCATACAACAAGTTTAATTAAAATCTGATCAAAACTGTTCAAATTCAAATTTTACAGTTCCAAGTTTTGTCACAATCTGAAGTCAAATGTAGACTATATCATGTGTTTGAAGTCTGACGGAAGGAACGCAAATAATGACAATATACATGTACATGTATTTCCACATAAAATGTGTGCGTATTTAATAAATCCTGCGAATATTCTGGCTTTAAAAATCTTCAACCATGATAGCAAAATGTCATCAATGCCTAAGCTCTTTCATATGTCATGTTTTTTGAGACAAATGTGTGACAAAATTTTCATACTTAAATCCACCAGCCCTCTTACTTTGATTTAAAACCCAATAACTTTACATGCAAGAATGAAGATTATTCAATGACAAAAATTTTATACTTTAAAATAGATTTTTCTATCAATTGAGTTTCTCAGATATTTTTGAATTAAGGAACATGGTACATGTATATTGTATAGTTGAAATTAGCCGCAGCAGTTTTACATTAAAAGAAGATATCTACATGTATCAACCAAATGTTGTTTATATAAGAAAACAAAATCCACCCCATAATAATTAATTCTTTTCTTTTTTTTTTAGATAATTTACTATATAACTAAAATTCTCAAGGAATGATACCAAATTTGTCAAGAGGAAATTCATACAAGAATGTCTATTATAATTTTAAAGCCGATACGCTCCACTATTTGTCAACATACTAATTTATATCTTGTATATCTAAGCTCTAAGGCTCTGCCTACTATTGGTAGTTCTAATCTTGACATTCGTTTATTTTCTAAATAATTTAAAGGTGTGTATTTGTCCGGAATAAAATTTGACAGGTAATCTTGCATTGATAAAAAAAGAAAACGCTAAAGTATTGGGGTAAAATATCTCTAACTAAAATGATACAATAGAGCTGCAATGTTTCTATAAAAATACCTGTGCCCCCACCCCTATTCAGGACATCCAGGTCACAAGAGACTGGATGATCTTAGTCCTAACTCTGAAACTTCATTGATCCACAGCCATGACACATGATCATCAAGTCTCTATTGACATTTATGTATCCGGTAGTTGTAATAAAAGTTTCATTGCAGCCCTGTATCACAAAACTATATCGTGTCACATTAGTATAACCAGGTTCCCTTGGAAACCTTGCTTACAAACAGGTGCGCTACACTCTAATACAATATTTTTAAAATACATCTGCAAATAAATAAATAATTCAAAATTTAATCAAGATCTTTGATTTAGTGAATCAAAAACAAAAAATTAACTTTCTTCTTATTTTGAATTAAAATATTAAATGTTTTTTTTTGTTGTTTTTTTTTTTTAAATGAATATTCCGTATAGGTTAATATAATTCAAAAAGAAAGATTAATTCTATTTTAAAAATCAGAAAAAATTACTTAAAATGGCATATGTTTTTATGATGATTGAAATAAAACGATGAAATACCTGTTTGATATAGCCATGTGGGATCAGTTTACTTAAATCAGCCAAACAGTTATTCATACGATCTCTCCTCCTTTTCTCAATTATCCTGTGCGACATAGGGTCCTAGAAAACGTAACAAAAATAATCTTTTAAAGATGCATTAAAGATGATTTACATAAAGAGCTGACAGTTCTCACTATAAAAGTTTAAAAATAAATAATGAAAAGGGAATATGTTGAAAATTTCAATCAAATTAATTCATTATCAGTGGAGTTA